GGCAGAGGTAGGAGACTCGCTTGAGCCCAGGAGTTGGAGGTTGCTGTGAGCTTTGATGCCACAGCACGACACTCTACCCAGGGGAATAGCTTAAGGCTCTGTCTCAACAACAACAAAAAAGAATTTAGATGATTGGCTACTTTGGGGTTTAAGTGAAAAGATCACTGGAGGCTGGGTATTCAGGGGCAGAAAGGGGTACTTAATTTTGTATCCCCAGGGTCTGAAACAATGTAGGAACTCAAATAAAGGTAAGGTGAATGAATGAAGTAAACAGTTTCCCCTATTAGAGGTAAATGCTAGTGGTGGCAGGGTTACTAAGGCATAAGTCTTCTAGTAGACTTTAATGAAGAACTTCACATTCCCCGCGTGCATTGTATCTTCTACTTCCCAGGTTATCTTTGAGCTCTGCAGCCCCTGGGGCTAGTGGAAAGAGCACAGAAGCTAGGAACCCTAGGTGAAGACCAGTCATTTCACTTCTGAACTTCAATTTTCCACCCATAAAATGAGGGTAGGAATTTCTACTATTAGAGTTATTGTGAGGATTAAATGTGAAAATGAGGCAGGCACACGCTGTAGTCCCAGCTACTCAGGAGACTGAGGCTGAAGGATTGCTTGAGCGCAGCCTGGGCAACCTAGTAAGACTCCATCTCAAAAAAAAAAAAAAAAAATCAGATATGAAGATGTTTTTAACCTATGAAGTGCTGTATAAATAGAAACACTGGTTATTATAGTTGAGGCCAACCAAGAAAGAGATTGACTTGTCTCTTGTTCCACCATAATAACAAGTAGAGTGGAAAATGTGGTACAAATGCATGTTTTAGTTCTAGTCCAGAGCTGTAGCCACAAGGCTCACCAAATCTCATCTGGGCTTAGTGGCTCACACCTGTAATGAGCCACTCTGGGAGGCCCAGGTGGATGGGTTGCTTAAGCTCAGGAGTTCAGGACCAGCCTGAACAAAAACAAGACACCATCTCTACTAAAAATAGAAAAACTAGCTACATGTTGTGGAGGGTACCTATAGTCCCAGCTACTCAGGAGGCTGAGGCAAAAGGATCTATTGAGCCTCAAGAGTTTGAGGTTGCTCTGAGCTATGATGCCACTGCACTCTACCCAGGGTGATTGAGACTCTATGTCACCAGAAAAAAAAAAACAGTCACCAAATCTCAAGCAGCAGACTCCTCCCATAGCTCCACAGCCTCTGTTGTAGATCCTGCTCATACTTTCTGCTGCCTAGCCACCAGCCCACGTGTGCTGGAGAGAGAGCGGGAGCAGGGAGAGGCGATATTAATGAACCATCTGCACCAAAGCAAGAGTGAGGTCATCAGATGGACAGTGCAGGAAGGGGTGCAGCTGTGTGGCACCAAAGGCCACAGCAGCCCCTCTCCACTGCTGGGGACTCTTCACTCTTCCTGGCCTCGGTGCCAAGGGTGGGGAACAAAAAGGAGCAGGAGAGGAGCTGCAGGTCTTAATTGTTTAAAATGTTTCCATTGTTCCACACTGGGTTGTCAGGGAAAATGGCTCCATGGTGATTTTATGCATATTATGTATTTAATAGCTGGGAGGAACTGTGGAAAATATTGTTACATTTTTTTACAGGCTTGTGTATACTGCTCCAAAATGGCCTTGTAACTTTATCTGAACTTGAGTCTGTGCCTCAATGTTGTCATCCTCCACTTTCTCTGAAAAACAGAGCCAACTCCCGACTGAGGTTTATTAAGTGTAGTCATGTTGTGCTAAGTGCTCGTTGAGTACCTGACATGCCCTGTGGACCATCGCAGGTTTATCTTTGTATCTTTTTCTCTGGAGACCTCCTAATGGATTTGTGAGAGGTGTTGCTATCCTCACAGCAGATGAAAAATAGAATCTTGCTGAGGTTGAGAAACTCACCAAAGATCATGTAATTTGTAGGCTGAGGTTCAAGCCATGCTGTTCCCACTCCCCCGTGATCCTGAGATGGGCTTTAGGAGCCTTGTCCAGGTAGCGGTTGTTTGGCTCTGTTCTATTCCTTTCCCACTCTTTTCTCTCAAAGATCAGGGGGAGCTGCTCTTATCAACCAGATGGAGTGTACACAGTCCTCTTGTGGGACAGTTTTAAAGCAAATGGTGTGGTAAGATTTTTGGCCCCACTAGTCCTTTGGATCTGACTTGACACAGCAATTATTATTACTATTATTATTAGTTTTATTATAGAGACTATGTCTGTCTCTGTCACCCAGGCTGGAATGCAGTGTGCAATCATAGCCTCCAACTCCTGGGCTCAAGTGATTTCACCTACTATAGCTTCCCAAATAGCTGGGACTACAGGTGTGCACCACCACGCCTGATTAATTTCATTTAATGTTTATTCTTGTAGAGATGGAATCTCACTACATTGCCTAGGCTGGTCTTGAACCATACTCTAAGTGATCCTCCTGCCTCTGCCACTCAAAGCCCTGGGATTACAGGCATGAGCTGCCATGCTCGGCCAAACACAGCAGTTAGGAGAGCACTGTCCAGATGCTGTCTGCCCGGCTCTAACCTGACTGCCCTTGCTTTACAGGAGCAGTAGCAGTGACTTACACCTGAGAACATCCCAGTGGGAGGAAAAGAGAAATCACGTTTATTCCTCAGGAATACTGAAGTGCCCTGGAGTAAGCTCGTGTTCTTCTGTAACAATGTTATCAGTAATGCTTTAACTCCAGCACACTGTTTATGTGTCTGAAACCAAGTCTGTTTCTTGTTTTGTATTTTCTCTCTGGAAATTGCAAGGAAGTGGTCTTCAAAGAAATAAATTAAAAATAGGAAGCCTATTTCATGGCCTTTATTTCTTTGCCTGTAGTCTCCGAGTATGAGGACTGTGTTTGAACTACCAGCAGCTGTAGCCTCCTGCTCACAGCCTTTCTGAGAGTCCTCCTGAAACTACAGGCGGCATCTTCCTTTCCTCCTCTCCCCTAACGTGTAGTTTTCAGAATTCCTTCTGCTTCACAAATCCGAGGTTGGAGATTGCTGCTGAGCACGCCAGTGAAGACTGAAGACGATTAATGTCCTCAGAGCCTCTCGCTGCTGTAGCCACTCTGTGTGTGTGGACTGGCAGGGCATGTCTCAGCTGTCCCTGTTGCACTGAGCACAGACAGCTGCATATTAGCAAGACGCAGAACCTGACTGTGTGGAAGGTCCAGTCCATTGATGTCAAGTCCTGCAGCTTCATGGAGCTTGACAGGGTCCAAGCGTTAGCCCTGGGGGGTGGAGAAAGCTCTGGGCATACTCACCTGCTGGAAAGCACATTTAGGGTTGATTTTATCTTCACTTAGCAGCTGAGGTTTGAGGACCAAAGGGCCACTTTTAATGCCCCTCTGTGAGTTTGTTCCTGTGGTTTCACTTGAACCAGGTAGGCTGAGCACAAAAGTAGTATTTTAGTATTATAATAGTGTTATTTCTTCTGAAAATATGCAGAACTCCAGAGCTCAGGGTTTCTTATCTTACTGCTTTCTTAATACTAAAATCAAGATGGGCAGAACTTGATTCCACTAACCCTTACTTCTGTAAATGTTGTGCCAGCTACAAGCCAGGCACTGTTGTAGGCAGCATAGATTAAATGGGGGAAAGGACCCAGGCCCCTGCCTTCAGGGAGTGCAGAGTCTGATGGAAAGGCAGATATACAAACACTTAACAACTCTGAGAGGAGGGGTGTAGACAAAGTGCAGTGACAGGGACATGGAGGAACATGCGGATTGAGACTTGAAGTTGACTCGGGCATTCTAGTACATTCTGTGGAGACTCAGGATTGTGGAAGTGAATCTTACAGCTAGAAAGCTACAGGCAGTTCAGTATAGCCAGAGTGTGCAAGGGGCAAGGGGGAGCTGTGGAGGGTGAGGCTGGGCACCTGGGTAGAACTCGTGCCTGACCCCAATTCTGGAACATTTATTAGACCTTGGTTCTTACACCTGCTATAATATGAGTTGATTCTGGGTAGCAATGTACACTCCCCTACTCCCATTTTTCCTCTTATCCTTTGCCTGACTGGGCTTTCTAAAAGCCGTGCAAGGCTCTGGACCTGAACAGGCAGCAGTGATGCTTTGCTTTTCAAACTGTCCAGGCTCTCTTGGCTTGTTGGCATCTTTGAATTACCTAAAACCCAAAGATAGGCTGAACCTACAACTGGAAGTCATGGTTGCCACGGCTACTTGGCCCTCTTCATTTTCTTTTCTTTTCTTTTCTTTTTTTTT